ACTGGTGCTAGAACTTGTATCCTCCTCGAAACCCTTTCCAGTTTTGCTACCTTCATTTAACAGTACCGCAGTACTGGTCTCACACAGAATCAAAGGGATTATATTCTCTGCCTACTCCTAAATTAGTACTCCCCTGATAAAAGGTCAGTGATCATCCCCTTAGCTTACAAGTGTCTCCACCAGACAAGTGGTTATTTCTACGAGTGTCCCATAGCCCTACCCCCCACTACCACATGGTCAAAAGGAAAGCGGTGAAGTTGCTGAAAGTACCCTACAACCTTTCTGCAAGACCTGACACACTTGCAAGTAAACAGGCAGGTATAGCAGGGGCCTGCCTTAGTGGCACCGTGAATATGACTGAGCTCAACAACCAAGATGAGACATATGGGAAGTGGAAGTGGGGACATGACAAGGAGGAATACAGGAGCATCGCCCAGGGATGCAGGGATGGAATTAGAGGGCTGATGCTTGTGTGCAGTTAAAATTCAAGGATGTCAAGGGTAACGACACTTTTGCAGCCAAACGGGAGGCTGAGTAAAAGCTAGGCCGGCCGGCTACTGAATACAGCAGGTGACATTGTGACACAGCACATGGGTACTCAGTGTCTTCTTTGTCTATTTCTACTGGCAAGGTCTCCTCTCAGGCATCACAGAGCTTCACATCAAGCGGCAAGAACCAAGTTAGAGTCTATTTACACAAGCTGGAAATGTAATACAAGTCCATGGGATTGGAGAGGATACATCTGAGAGTACTAAGACTGCTGCTAAATGTCTTTGGAAGGGCACTCTCTATCCCTCTTGAAAGGACACAGTGATCAGATAAAAATGTTATGCCTGTCTCAGAAAACTGCAAGGAGAAGGATCTGGGTGATAACAAGCTGACCAACCTGCTCTCAGTCACTGGGAAAATTGTGGAGCAAATACTTACAGAAACCACTTCCATTCATACAATGCAATAATGTTATTGAGAACAGCCATCTTGGGCAAGCTGTGTCTAGCCACTGATTGCCTTCTACAACTATATTACAGGTTCTCTGGGTGAGGTTAGAGTAGTAAGTGTTGTTATCCTTGTCTTTAGCAAAGCCTGTGATACAGTTTCTTAGGGTCCTTGCAGCCAAACTGTGGAGACACAGGTGGACTACAAGGTGGGTTAAAAACTGACTGATCATTGGCCTCAAAGGGTAGCTAATAACTGAAGTCAAATTAGCACTGTTCATAGTCATAGAACGGTAAGGGTTGGAAGGGACCTTCCCATGGCTCAGTACAAGGGCTGATATTACTTAACTTTTTCATCCATGACCTGCATGATGAGACCCTTTAGGAAGTACAAGGTGACACCAAATCAAGGGGGCTGTTGGTACACTGGCAGATATAGCTGCCATTCAGGGAGACCTCAACAAGCTAAATCAGTGTATAACAGACACATCTGTTTTGATGTTTCAAAAAGATAAACACAGGGTCCTGCATCTGGGAGAGGATATACTTACAGAGGAGTGCTGGCTAAGACTAACAGTTCTCCAGGAGAGGATCCAGGGGACCACAAACTGAACAAAGCCAGCAGTGTGTCCCTGTGGTAGTGAAGACTAACCATGTCTTGGACTGCATTAGCAAGACCATAGCCAGCAGGTCAAGGGACATGATTACTGCCCTCTATTCAGCACATATGAAGCCACATCTGGAGTACTATGTTCAGTTTGTTCTCTCGCCAAATAAAAGAGACTGAAGAGAACCAAGCGAACGGTCATAAAGATGGCTAGGAGCTTTGACATACAAGGAGGATGGGGAACCTGGGAATACCAGTATTCTTATCAACTAAGCAGCATTTCTTATGGTCTCATTACGCAAACAGATGCATTCTGTCCCATCCAGAAGACCTACATCGGCCATAGGTACCTATTAGAGCACACTGATGCTACCAGTGCAGCTCCTGATGTGCCACAGCAAACTCTGAACTGGGTTCCACACAGACGTTAAAAGGTGGCCTGAAGCTGGTACTGCCCCTGTGCTGCAAGCAGAAACTCCCACGGGTCTTCCATATTTCTGTGCCTGACAAAATCATGCCTGCTCAGGGACTGTCGCACAGAAAAATGATTTGTACACCAAAGAACAAACTGGCATCCTACTCGTAAATGATTTTCCATTTATAGTTGCAAAGCCACTGCTAGAGAGGACAAAACTAGTTTATAAAATATTTCTGCAACTGTAATTGTTTAGGACCACTGAACGGCATGTTCCAAGCCAGATCAAAAGGAACACCACAAACCCAAGAAAGGCTTATGGGTAAAGACAGAGCAAATTCCATGTCTGGGATCCATCTGTAACTCTGTCAAACCAAGAGTCCTTGTAGCTGTATACAAATGAAATGTCTGTCTGCCAAAATTAAGTGAATGAAGAACAAATACCCCCTTATCATTTTTACGGTAGCTACCTTGTTTTCTTTAATGTTAAATATAAAATACCCTTCCTTTTCCACTGTTGTGAAAATACAGATCAAAATCAGAATACCAGACATTGATCGTGGTCTTCAGATTACCATTTTGCTTCAAATACAGATGTGTAAAGTCATGCTGTACTCTTTTTGACTCAAACTATTGCAGCTGCCACAACTGAAGTTGCAACTTAAAGTCAGGAAGATTTTGAGGAAATTGTACTGTTTTCTTGAAGAGGGTCAAGGCAGATATATCACTGACTTATCATAGACTGACAACACAGAGATGTTATCAGAAACTGGAAACGCATTTGGAATGAAAAGGCCTGATGTTTTTGCATTTGCACAGTAGTGATACATGTGTGATTTTTCACACTTAGCCATGTAAAAAAGCAGGAATTAGTAACTACTTGCAGTGTCAATTCCCTAAATAATTCGCATTTATGAATAGTAATATTTAATGCCACTTTTCTCCCTTAAAAATACTTACTATTTCAATAACCAGAGATCTCATTTTAGAAGTGAGAAATACCTCCTCTCCATTTACAACAATACTTACATCAAGTCACTGACAAGGATTATAGCAAAAGATACAGCAAAATTCTTTAAAATAAACCTGGAACAGGTATTGTGAGATCATGAAATCTCCCTACTGTTTCTACCTATTTACATTTCAGTAGCAATAAGCGTAAGCACAGCATGCATTTGCCACTGTCTGAAGAAAGTTACTGAAGATTTATTTAATGTGGTAAGAAATAGCCAAAAGGCAGGATATCAAACACTAACAAAAAATAAAACAGCTTTCTTACTGCCTTATCCAATAAATCCAAATCATTAGCTTTAAGAAATGTGTAAACATGAAACCTCCCAAATCCTTCAGCTGCTCAACAAAATGAATGGTTTAGTTTGGTTCCTCTACATACACCATGGTCTGTGCAAGGGGTAGTAACTTCTACAGCCTAACTGATCTAGCTTAAAAAAAAACCGTGTACTGGAACATGAAGGGTTGAAACTGCGCCTGAAAGCTTGACCTTTACATCAGCTGGTCCAATCTAATAAAAGATATTACCTCTCCCTAAAAGCCCTTGCTTTGTTTATGGGCATGACTGCCTGAGATTACAGCACTACTATTATCAGACAATGCCAACTGCAAGGCTCTCCCAGCGCCCAGGGTGGGAAAGACAGCCAACTCTTCAAGTAATCGTCCAAAAATACCCTCACGTTAGGGATCCCCATGCAGAACCGACATCTCCAACTTCACTGTTGTCAACTGAGGGGCCATGAGACACCACCATTATGCACCCTGGACTGCCAGAAGGGTGGCAGCGCCCAGGATTGCAGCGCTGTCAAAAGAGGCGGCCAGGCAGGGGTGAGGTGCTGCACGCTGCCGTTCTCTACAAACGCCGCCGTATTCCCCGACTGAGCTTCAGCCTCGTACATCTGCACGCCATTTCTCCGCTCATCTGCATCTGAGCAGTACGCTACTACTGCCACAACAGCTACCATGATAGCCACCCAGCACAGGACCAAGTAATTTCTAAGCCAGCGGCCCACAGATTTTGCTGGGCAGGCACTCGGCAAGATCCCGTGTGTGCACTCTGGCCTTCCTCTCCCCATGGACCCAGCTGCCTGGGCCTCCCCTCAGGCAAGGCCGGTGCTGGGGGCCTCAAGCGGCAGTGCCCCAGCCCCCCCGTTACCGGCTCCCTGGACCGCGGCGGGCCGCACACCTCAGCACAAGGGGCGAAAGCCTCGACAGCCGCAGCCTGCCCGGATTTCTGTTGATGCAGCGCCCCCTGCGGGGCGGGACGAGCTGAAGAACCGCGGGGCCGCACAGCGGCAGGCCTCGGAAAGGAGAAGGGCTTCGTGTCCTTTCCCGGCACGGCTCCCGGGCGGGGCGGGGGAAGGGAGGGAGGGAAGCCCTCAGCTCTTCTGAGGCGCGCCGCGGGGGCACCGGCGCCCGCCGTCGCGCCGCAGCGGCCCCGCGGGGCTTCTGCACAGGGAAGCTGACCGACAGCAGCAGGCGCGGAGGGTGGGCGCCCGGCGTCCTCCGGCGCTGGCACGCCGCCGGGCTGCACCGAGAAGGGAGCCGAAGCGGGGGGGGGAAGCGCGCCACGCGAGTCGTCGTTGAGCACCAGCTGAGTGACCGGGATTTGACACGCCGTGCCGGGGGCTGCCAGCGCCGCAGGCCGGCGTACCCGGCGATGGCGGCGGCCCCAGCCGCAGCGAGTCGCAAATCCCCGCCATGCCATGCCATGCCATGCCATGCCCTGCTCTGCTCTGCCCTGCCCGCCGTGGCGCGAAACGGAGCGAGGCGACCTTCCCGCAGCAGTGGGGCGGGGCCGGGTAGTGCCGCTCGCGCCGCGGCATTCCCGCCGTAGCCGCCTGGACCTGCTGTTCGCATGCAAATGACGGCCCTCCTCATTGGCTCCGCCGGCAGCCCTTTCAAAAGGGGAGCCGCGATTGGTAGCTCGGGGCTGCTCACGCAGGGGAGAATCTCCCCCGCCCTTCTTTTTTTTTTTGCCGCCGCTAATGTGTGATGCTCTGCTCCCTCAGACAGCCTGTAACGCTGCGCGCCGGTTACTACAAATAAATAGTTCCCAGCACCCCCATCTTCCCCCCCTGCCCGCCCGCACGAAGGGGCGGGACGGGAGGCTGCAGTCACGACCGCCGCAAGGCGGGCGCCCCGGCGCGGAGGGGAGGGGGGCTGGCTGTGGCGGCGGGGAGAGGTGTTTCCCTCCCCCGCCCCGCCCGCCCGTACCCCGCGGAGGGATATCCTGGGAGCGCTCGCCGCGCTCTGCCCGCACCAAAACATTGGGAGTTAAGAGGCGGCTCGGCGGCGCCGCCGGCTCAGAAGCGCGCGGGCAGGATCGGCGGCGCTCGCTTCATACTGCGGCGCCCAGCTAGCTCCCTGCCGCCGCGGCCCCCGCAGGGGCGGGCTCCGAGCTCACCCGGCTGCCTCCGCTGAGCTCTACCGCTGCCTGCGTGCTGCGAGCGGCTCTCGTCTTTGAGAGCGACGCCTAAGCCAACCGCCTTTCGCCGGAGGAATTAGTGCCGCCGCCGCCGCGTGGACCCGCGTCGTTGGGGACCCCCGAGGACTCCGTCGGTGTCCGTCTCCGGCCGAGAAAACAGGCGCGAGGAGGGTCTCAGCGGCCCGCCGGCCCCGCGGGGAGGAGAGCCGCGCCGGGAAAACGCCGGCGGTGCCACCGCGGAGGACCCACCGTTCACCACCACCACCATCCCCCCGCCTTTCAGAAGATGTTGCTCTCCAAGTTTGGCTCGCTGGCTCACATCTGCAGTCCCACCAGCATGGACCACTTGCCGGTGAAGATCCTCCAGCCAGGTACGGCGGGACCGGCGCCGGGGTGTCCTCCGCGAGAGCGGAGCGGCCCCGCATTACAGGGTGCTGGGGCCGGTGCCTCGTTGTCCCCAGAACTTCGGGTGCCCTTCTATTTTTTAAATAGAAGATTTTTTATTTTTTTTTTTAATACAGTAAGAAAAAGCCTTGGGCAGAACTAGGGCAGCGCGCATAATAAGCGCCCAACGGGCATTTTTATTACTATTATTTTCGATTCCTGGTGCAGCACGGCAGCGGGCACTAACGCATTGCGTTTCCCTTTCGTTTCCCCAGTGAAAGTGGAGAAGGAGCCGTTTGACAAAGTCTACCAGGTGGGCTCCGTGCTGGGCAGCGGGGGCTTCGGCACCGTCTACGCGGGCAGCAGGATCGCCGACGGTTTGCCGGTGAGCCGCGGACCGGGTGGATGCAAGGGGTGGCCGTGGGATGGCGGCGGGCGGGAGCGCGGCGCGGGGGGCTGCGGGCGCAGGCGGTGCCCTCCCCGCCGCAGCTCACGCGCCTCCTTTCCTCCGCGCTCCGCAGGTCGCTGTGAAGCATGTGGTGAAGGAGAGGGTGACCGAGTGGGGCACGATTGTAAGTACCGCGATGGGGAAGGGGCTGCGGGCGCGTTGCGGGGCTCCGGCGCGGCGGGGCTATTGTGTGGGCGGCGGGGCCCGCCCCGTTGGCGCGGCCTCTGCGTCGGGAGGGAATTTGGCGGGGGTTTGCCGCCGCAGCGCCGCGCCCGCCCCTCGGACTGCGGCAGCGGCGGAGGGGGCCCGGCGGCCGCGCCCTCCCCCCGCCCCTCCACCCGCCCCGCGCCGCTGACCCGCGCCCCTTTCTCTGCCCAGAGCGGGGTCATGGTGCCCCTGGAGATCGTTTTGCTGAAGAAGGTGGGCTCCGGCTTCCGAGGGGTCATCAAGCTGCTGGACTGGTACGAGCGGCCCGACGGCTACCTGATCATCATGGAGCGGCCCGAGCTGGTGAAGGACCTGTTCGACTTCATCACGGAGAAGGGCGCTCTGGACGAGGAGACGGCCCGCGGGTTCTTCCGGCAGGTGCTGGAGGCCGTGCGCCACTGCTACGGCTGCGGCGTGGTGCACCGGGATATAAAGGACGAGAACCTCCTGGTTGACCTCAGGACAGGCGAGCTGAAGCTGATCGACTTCGGCTCGGGGGCCCTTCTCAAGGACACAGTCTATACCGACTTTGATGGTACGTGCCCATCCACCCTAGTGCCCGGGACAGCCCGGGTTGGGGCAGACCCTCGCCGCCCATCCACCCCGCGTGATGCCGTCCCCGCAGCCGCCGTTTCTTCCGCTCCTGGCGCCCCGGTGGTAGCGAGCCTTGTGGCTGACGCAGGGGTTCATATCGGGTCTATCGATAATGGAAACCTTTGGACCCGAAGCAGCTTAAGGGGGTGTTCAGTTGCGTAGGGAAGAAGCGATTCCAGGCAGTGACGCAGCAGTTTATGTTTCCCTGTCTTGGAAAAAGCGATTTTTTTTTTTCCTAGAGGGCGATCTGTTTACACGGAGACTCCGGCAGTGTCAGATGTTTCCATGTGTGGAAATGCAGTTTTTATACGCGTCGCTTTTTTTAACTTGAAGCAGTAGCTCCCCCCCTCCTTTTTGCCAGTGTCCTGGAAATCCCGCATTGCAGATTTTAAAGCGGTGGGGATACATATGCTCCCTGGAAAAGCCGGGATATGAGCTTTTGGGGCCCCGCCTTGGTGCTTTGGAGGGGGAAAGGCTGGAAATAAGCCAGTGTGTGACAGAGAGGGAGCGTTTCCCCCAGCCCTGGTGTAACGGAGGACTTTTTCCCCCACACCTTCCCTCCTCCCCAGCTGCTGCACTCACATCTGTTTGTTGTGAAACGCGAAGTCTCGCTGCACATCACCCGGCTCCCCGTTCTATTTGCTACCCGGGGAGCGGCGGGCACCGGCGTAGAGCCGGTGAAGCAGGGCGGCAGTGGGGGGGGGGGGAGCTTACAAACGTAGAAATGGTAAGCGGCCGTATTTTGTTTACCGCCTTGTGGAATTGGATAAAGCGGATTAGCCTGGTGTCACACGGGTAGAGCGGGGTTTCACCTCCCCGCCCGCCAGCCCCCTTTGTCCTTTTGTGTCTATTTTTGGTGCGATGCTGCAGACGCCACGTGGTCAGTGAAAGGAGCTGCCTCGGTAAACAGTCAGCTGATCGGCTGCGCTGGGCCCTGCAGCGGATAGCAGGACCGGATGAGCCAAGTGGTAGTGGTGTAACCCCGCGGGTGACCTTATGTTACACCGCTAATGGCTTTGGCACATGAGAAATAAAAAGTTGGTTTTTTTTTTTTAAGTACCGCATGACAAGCTTATGAATTTGATTTTATCCCTGCTAGAATGAGCTGAAAAATGGGGAAATGCTCTAAACCTCAATTTTTTTTTTTTTCTTTTTCCTCCTGCTTTTAGGAACGAGAGTATACAGTCCTCCAGAGTGGATCAGATACCACAGATACCATGGGAGGTCAGCAACAGTATGGTCTCTGGGAGTTTTGCTGTATGATATGGTTTGCGGAGACATCCCTTTTGAGCAAGATGAAGAAATCTTGAGGGGACGATTATACTTCAGGAGAAGAATTTCACCTGGTGAGTTGACCCCTATACAAGTGGTGGGTTTTCTTCTAATAGAAGACCTTTGACCTTGTATGGGTGCATTTTTTTATTTAGGGTTCTCCTTTTACTTTCCTAGTCTAAAAGCACCTTTTTTGGTATGTTTTTTTGTTACAGAATGTCAACAGCTGATCAAATGGTGCCTTTCACTGAGGCCTTCAGACAGACCAACACTTGAGCAAATTTTTGACCATCAATGGATGCACAAATCTGAAGTCGTGAAGTCCGAGGACTGTGACATAAGGCTACGGACCCTTGATACTGATGTATCTAGCACAAGTTCAAGTAATGAGAGTCTGTGAATTACTAAGGACCTCGCACTGGGAGGGGAGCTACAAGCAGAAAGACCACAGTGCTGCTGCCAATACTTAGGAGGGGCTAGAAAAATGCATTCATTATTCTGTAGTTGAATCTTTGTCTGAGGGACTTGATTTTATTTTCCCCCTTTGCTGGTTTCTGCTTTGGAATGAGATTTCCTTTGGAAACGCTGATGTTTGGGAGATGCAGGCCAGTACTTAGTCAAAGACTGACCTTATTAAGAAAGCAGTGACCTCTTGAATACATGGTAAACTTTTTTGCTCTCATAGAGCCTGGACTAGATTTTATTTGCTTTTGAGTGCCTTTTTGAAAGCTGCTTCAGTGGGACTTTCTTTTTTGAGCTGTGTATGTCCAAAGAAGATCCAGTTCATTATAGGAATTTGCTCCCTTTAGACTCTGTGCTGGAGGAAGCAGCTCCTATGATGCATTGGAGAACATGTTCGGTGATTGAATGAAGTAGTCCCATCCACTGGTGATGGAATACTTGAACACAGACATTTCACTCCTGCCCCCCCTGCCCCAGTCCTTTTCCAAATCCAACCCATCTCTGCTGCTCAAAATATTTCCCATAGCCTGCACAGAAATATGAACAGGTATATCAGCTTTTTTATCAGAAACATTTATTCATGTTCCTTTTAGCATCTCTATCATTGGGCATGAGAAGCCCCTTTCTCAACTCCCCCCGGCCTTTTGTCACCCTGCGAGTCTTAAAGTATGTATGGGCATGTTGAATGCACAATCAATGCAATATTCAAGAACTTTACTTTTTTTTTTCCATACCTGTATAATGTGTTTATGTAAATTTGTTTTTTTCCCATGTACTATACAGTTATTTATTGTTCGGAATTTAGAAGACTTCCCACAGGTTTCAGCTGTGGCTATTTATTTGGTTAATTTATTTGGTTATAGTTACTCAACACTGTGCTTTCCCTTCCTTCTCCCCATGGGAATTCTAGTGGTTTGCCCATGGCACTTTTTCTTTTCTGCATTCCTGTCAACTTTTGTTTAAAAAAAAAAAGACAAAAAAAATTCTGACCTTATCAATTTTTGTTGGAAGATGGAAAATTGTTGTACAAAGTCTAATTTAAGGGAAATAGACTTTTTAAAGTTAGTCGGTATGCCTTTTGTCTGGTATTATTGTACCAGAAATGTAAAGTAATGCTGTTCGGAAGGGTTTTAAATTATTGACATTGTACAGTCTCCGTGCATTGGCTCTGGAAGGTAAGAGTGGCAGAGTCATAAACCTTAATTTATTTTAATAGCTGTGTTTCTGTGATCTGGTTGCATTTATGCAGCTTGGATTTGGATTTTTTTTTTTCTGTTTAACAGTGTGAAATGTATGGAGATCATATTTTTTATACAGGTATTTCAATTAAACTTTTTTTGTATATAACAGTTCTGTGTTTGTGTCCTCACTTTTACCTTCGCTGCTACTCTTGATACCGCCTGGGGAATATGTATTCTCTTAACTTACAGATTGTAAAGGCCTGCAGTTAATAGGTCTATGCCATTAAGCACTGACCATTTTGGAGAATTAAAACAATTGCTCATCTTGACTGTATCTACTGCATTGCTGTATTTGGTGTTGATATGGCGATGGTGTACAATACAACAGCACCAGTGGCCTGCATAGAAGGGAATTAGCCAGTAATGGGAGGAGAGGGGGTAGCTCTGTAAACACTGAATAGCTGAAGTGTCACTGTACTTGCTGCCCTTAAGTATAACAAGTAAGGATTTCTTTTTTTGTAGTCACTGGTGGTAACTGTTTTAACAGTTGACATGTTTACTTTCCATTACATTCAGTTTCCTTCTTCCTGCTTACCCTTTCCTCCTGGGGGGGTGCACAGGAATTTCCTGTGCCCTTACAGGAAAGGGACAGCATTCTTGGAGAGCAGGGTAACTGTTTTTCTTCAGCTCCTGTAGCTTATTGAAAAGACTGCTGTGTCACTTTATAAAGTTCTGGGGAACACATGCCATTCTCATCCATAGCAAAAGGCAAGAGAAATATCCATCTTAGTATGTTGGGAAACAAGTCTTGCAGACTACTGAGTTCATCCTACGTTCTCTGCAGCTAGAGACTAACCTGGCTCAGTCCTTTTGTGGGCATGGTAGCTATTAGTGGATTTAACTACCACAGAGGGATCTACAGAGTACATTTATGGATGTGTTCAGTCATTAAAGGTGCTTTGTAGTAGTCACAGCAAAGGGCTAGGCTTAGAATCTGTTGGGTTTATGTTATTTCCCTTTCTGGGGATCTTTCTGCCACCTCATCTATTATTTTGGATCCCTGTGGGGAATATCTCACTTGCTAACATCACATCAAGCTCCTGATGCTAACTAGTTTAATGCCACTGAATTAGCAGGAGGTAAAGCAGAAGGGAAAAGACCATTTTTTGTGCTTGCAGTTTTCTTATGACATGGGGAGAAGGTGAGTAGGTTTTTCTTGGCCATATAAACAAAGTTCAAATTACTCAGAAAAAAAATAACTACAGTTTTGTCCAATTTGGCTGTTTTCTGGTTTTGTTTTTCATTTTAGACTTGTTTCTCCAGTTTTAAATAAAAATCTGTATATACATTAAACTTAGTCCCTGTGAAACACATATCCATGAAAATCCCTATTTTTGGAACTCTGATCACAGAAATGAAAGTTTTTATACTTATGTGTAATTTAATTTGATCTTAAATTTGCTTAAGAAAATCATTCAATCCTACCTGAAGGGAAGAACACTTAGAAGTGAAGATTGGGAGTTTTGCTTTGGAATTAGAGGTTTCTTTTGCTTACGAGGAGGGACTTGGGTAAAGCTACAGGAGAGATGATCCCAGTGCCTACTGCAGTTCTTCAGGGAAGCATGTTTCTAACCACAAGTGGTCCCTGGAGAAATTCCAGTAGCTGATGATAATTAACATCTTCCACTCCAGTGGCTTCACATGCTCGCAGCTGTTGAGAAGGGGTGGCAGTGAGGCCGTGCGGGTGAGCTTCAAAGGGCTACCAGAAAAGCAGTTCTAAAAATACATTTGTAAAGCTATTGTTGGTGGCTGAACTGGGGACTTTCAACGTTTCCACAGGAGCCTATGTTACTTGCCTTAGCTTCATAGAGAATTACTGTTGAAGCAATCTGTTTTGAAACGTAAAAACTAGGTTTTCACCTTCTGCTACTGAGGCAAAATGCATTAAAAGGATAAAGGTCAAAAGGACACTGGCTCGAGTGCTGACTCCCCTCTGGGATTAGTTCAACATAAAAGGTGCACTTTCAGTACTGTGCAGGCAGCTTTAGTTGTGAAACTCCCCTGTACACTAATAGAAGCCACGTGGCTGAAACACCATATACCGAAAGTAATGATTTGTAAAAATAGCTTTTCATTACAGCTGAAAGTCAGAAAATGATGTGTTAATATAGTTCCATTAGCTGAGTGTTACTGCCAAAATGAGCAAGTAAGTGACAGCTCTTGGTTTCTCCTGCGCTTCTATCTGGTATTTTAATATTGTAAAATGTTACTTCTCTGGGATCCTCCTCTTCGTACTCTCCCCCATTAGGTTGGTTTTCAACAGCACAGAGCTTGAAAAGTAGAATTCAGCAGATCATTCAGAATACTACTATGTGTGTCACAGTCTGTTTTAACCTTGACAAATTGATTTAGCAGTGATCATACCTATGCACATATGTATGTTACTGGCTTCATAACAGGTATATGAAATACGTTCTAATGCTGACAGATCTTTAACAATGTAGTATCTTGTGTAATTCATATCCTTAATAAAACTCACTCTTCTGTGTGCATAAGCACACACTCTCTTCTTTCTTTTAATTTTAGTTAACTAAGCTTATATTTACTGAGGCCCTTTGAACAAAACTGTCAGGGGGATGTTAGAAAGCTTGACGAGGGTGTGTTCTCGCCAAACACTTATGGTTCTCTTTCAGTGATTTACTGACCTCTGTTGGTGAAATTAAAGTATATGTTCCCAAAATAATGATGCATAAATTGGGAAGAGGTATTTTAAAACAGTGCTGACTGCCATGTTTAGGCATGGAAGAGTATGGCTAATAGTTAGGTATCCCATAGTGTTTGAAAAGCTACAATTACAAAAGGAAACAAAACCAGAAAAAAAGATAAAAAGACACTGCAACTATGAAAACCGCTTTTCAATGAGAATGGGAGAGGGGAATATGAAATCAAAAGGTTGCCAACTCTGCAGCTGAAGTTACAGGGGTGACATGCCTAGTGATTCCCCCAGTCACTTATATGACTCTTGGCGTAAGCATTTATGACCATTAGGCCTCCCTCATTCTTGCGCTTATTTCAGTCACAATGAGAAGCACTTGTCTTCTGGCATACAGATGGGCAATAATTCTCAGTGGTGTAAGCAGACAACAGAACAGAACATTGTGGCCCTATCAGCTTATAATTAGTGGATTTTTACTACTAACAGCAGCTATGCTACTGTTGGTAGCAGAAGTCAAGATCATGGAATTTTAATTTTGTTGCAATACATGGTTTTTCTGATATTATACTGAAGTTTTCTCTGCTTGTAAATTTGCAATTGCTTAGTTTCACGGTTATCTGTGATTTAAAAATGTAATATGTTTTTGCCTAAGGGTTTCCTTCAGGTAGCTGATAAACCAGAGACATTACTCTGCTAATTGACTACGCAAATCATTATGCCAAAAAGCTGCTTATACGAGTCCACTAGTAGAGAATTAGTGAGATGCAGACTTAACTTGCACCCTTTCTCAAGGAAATTTTTGTAAAACCTTGAAGTAACAGTTAAGTCATAAGCAGCAAAGCATCTTGTAGATCAGTATGAGTATTAATGACTCAGCAGTCACTTTGACTCTCCAATCAGGAATAATGAAAGATTGCATAAAATTATACTGAAAACCAAAGGGTATTTTGCTCCATTCTTTGTAGAATTATAAAAAATAAATTTCATAGTTCTGTGAATCATTGTCTGTGTAATGGCTAATTAGAATAGCTTTTTGTATACATGGTCTACAGAAAAAAAAAACCTGCTGTTTTGTTGAAATAAAACAAGTTCTGCTTGCAACAAGAATTGGGCTGGTTTCAGGGTTGAAGTTTGTGTCTCCACTTCTCTACTTCCCTTGGTTTAGGACAGGAAAACATAAGCATGAAATATCAGTTTATTCCAGCTAAAATACAGAAATACGTTAACAAGCATATGCTATAAAAGTGGGAGCGGGGATCCCCCACGGGGGGTTATTTTTGCCAGGTTTCCAAACCTTACAGTGTCGTGAAAGAGACCAGTCTCCTTCAAGATCATCCTATGGGAATCCATTAATCAGGGGAAAATGCTCCTGTGTTCAGATTCCATGCAAGGGTTTTTTCCATGTAATAGCTAAAGTCTTGCAATATACAGATTTACATCAGCATAGAAAACCATAAAGAATCTCATCTTTCCAGAGGTAACTTACCTATTGTTCAAGGAGAGGTAAACAGATAACAAATTTAATCTGCAGGAAGGCAGGTGAAGTTGCAGTAAGGAAGAGATTTATATCTGTAAGGATAGATGAGCACCACAGTAAACTAACTGTGGAGTATATCAAATCATTTTTTGAAACAAGCATTTTTCATAAATCATCTGGAAATTACAGCTGTGGATTTCATCAGCCTAATGGTCATGAGTTAACAAAAAGAGATTTCCATCCACAGCATTCATTCTGCTTGTTGAACCAGTATAAAATTTATTGACAGTATCCCTTTTGCTAGTGGCAAGACACTTTTTAATGCAAATTTGGCCTAATCAATAGAAGTAGTGACAGACTTTGTCATGATGGTGAGGCTATGAGGCTACTGACCTTTGCTCACAGCCAGCATCACTAAACCGGTCCTCTCTCACACCATCCCTTCCTTTTGCTGGCGCACTGATATTCAGATCAATAAACTGATCTCCCTGATAACCACCCAGCATAAGTGATATGCACAACTGCTTGGGACTGCGGTTGGGGGGAAGGGAGATGTTACTGCTGAAGAAAGGGTATGTGTGATAACCTTCATTTTCTCTAATAACATCAAACAGACCCCTAGTTTCTACCTTATGGCTTCTGCAACAAGAATCTCCAATGAATGTTGACGAATCCTGCTGTTTTCAACCTTGTATGTGAAATATTTCAGGTGGGTTTTTTTCAAATCAAATTCTGAGCACTTGCTTGAAAGGTTCACAGCACCTCAGTTCCTGCTAAGATCACTTAGAATCTTATAAAGATCAGAACTTAATTCACAAATATTTTTACACATCCCAACAGTATGCCCTACTTTCTAACCAGCTTCACAGGTACATTTGCAAATAAGAAAATACATGAAACATATTAGAATAGCTAATAAATAATGACACTTTACAGCTGTGTATGCATTAAAAAAGTTGCAGTGAGAAAAATTAACACAAATGAGTTGAAAGCTCATAACTGCATTTATTATTTTATCTCAAGATCTTTATTTTCCAATTTCTCTGTCATTGTGAGTCTGTTTAGCAGGCATGAGCTCCACTGTTATCTCTAAGATATCTCTACCTATGCTATAATTTAATACATAAAAAGGAAAACGTCAGCAATTGATCTTGGAAATCTTTGTCAGTCCTAGTAAACCATGAATTTTGAGTGCATTTTGAAGATACCTCTTTACCCAGTCTAGTGCTTGTTGTGGTAATACACTCAAGTAGCTCTAATGGCTTCCCTGACAACTCCCAGTCAAAGAGCTCTTGGTGGCATAGGACTCAATTCTGCAATTCCTGCTCAGAGATTCCAATCATTTCAAGGGGAATGTTGTCTGTATGATGGCTATAGGATTATCTCTCAAGTTGTGACAAAAGAAGGGCTTCCCTGGAAGAAAATTAATGAGAAGGCCTCAAGTTGTACTGAAAACCCTCTACTGCAATGCTGAAAAGTGGTAGAGAGAAGAGAAAGGGAGCCTTTCTGCCTTTCCAGAGTCAGACCTGCGTTGCTCTGAAAGACAACAAAGGAGATACTTGGAAAGCAAGGGCAAGGTAACCAGAAAGAAAAGTAGAACATAAAAATTATCTCAAAGCCTGAGACGTGGGTGGTGTTTTTGTTAATACCACAAAGAGCAGTTACGCACTAGAAGTCTTTTTTTCCCATGTAACTGCCTGTTAGTGTGAGAGTGTTCCTTGCAATGTTGATGGTAATTGACACCTCTTTTCCTCTTCCCCTGCTGAACAGACTTTTTATGTCACAAACCAAGAGCGCCATCCGACTCCTGTGACAAGCTGGTACTGATACAGGTGACGAGGCAAGTACGTGTGAGTAGTCACACTTGCAGAACAGACATTAATACATGTTTGCATATTCTTTACTTAGTTATGTTTTTATTAATTAAAAATTATTAAAAAAACTGACATCCACAATGGCAAAAACTGCACTGGTGCCAATGTTATTTTTCATCCACATAGTTTTCACAGTGCTTTAGAAACTTCCTTGGTTGATTGCAAATGTACATATGATAGCAACCCTTTGCTCACATCTTCCTACCACCTTACAGAAAAGCTTTCTCAATTCTAAAGTAATACAATTGACAGGACTGAGCAATTAACTAAATTAAGAAAATTAATTTTATTTTCTAGAGCTCTAAAAAAGAATAAAGATGTTTATTATACTTACATTTATTATATAATTAGTTATTATATGTTGTATAATATAAAATACAAAATTAAAAGAGGATTCTAGGAAAGAAGTCTCTGCATTTTGTAATAATTCACATTTCTTAAGCCTTTGCTGTTTCAGCTCCCAATGAAACCTACCGGAGAAAAGTTTAAAAATGAACAGAAATTGCCCAATGAAGCTTCATCATGGAGGAATTCATCATTTAATTATATTTTCTTGCCTTTAGCTGTAGCCAGTGACCCCAAAATACCTGAAATTATTTGCTCTTACTTACTGATTTATTCTTTTTTTCGTTTGGTTACACTGGAAAACTTTGGATTTGTATAATGGAAATTTTGAATGACACAAGTTCATATATGTGACTATACAATTTACTAATATTTCAGACTACTGTAGTAAGTCTTATGCAATGAAAAATTAGTTCAGCTGAAGCTCACTGACGGCTAAACACCGTAAGTGGTGATGATCAAGGCAGTATTAGAAAGTCTTAAAGAACCCTGGAAAAACACAAGTTTATCAGAAGTGCACATGAAGTTCTCTCTCGGCTCTTGCAGATGGCCAATACAAAGTTAATGTGGCACTGAAGACAAACTGGAACAGAAGGCGCTTCCAATAGCATAGTGTCAAGACATTACATGGCTTGGTACTGGTTTTCTGCAGGGAAAAATCAGCTGCCTTGTTGCACAGAGGACGTGTTTGTTCTAGAGTACTGCACCTAAGCTGCTAAAATTCAAGTTAATTGATTGCCAATTGGCTTAGACCTGGAGAAAAACACAAACATTTCTGTTCAATTGTTCATGAAATATCTAGATTAACATTTACAAAGCTGTTAACTAGCTCAGGTTAATTGGCAATCAGTTCAGAGGAGAACATTGCCCAGAGTCACAGACTTCAGCTAAAGCATTGCCTGCTGAAGATTATTGCCAAATAAAGTTTACCAGGCAAATTTTCAAAGTAGCATCTCTTTGAGGACAATGCACAATAAAAAGTGATTTTTCTTCTCCTTTTTAATTAGTTTTATATGAAGCCTGTTTGGGGACACTTATTGGTTGTACCAATTTACCTAGAATGGCCTCAGCAACTTAGGTAAACCTGCATCTGGGTGGGGAGCTGAGTGCCAACTGCAGCAAGCAGCATCTCAGAGCAGCGTGACTGCACTCCCTGCTTGTCTACTTACATTTTTCACATTAAGTCACTGGTGGATGCTTCTCCTCATGCATATTTCCATGCAGATTTGCCCTTAGAAGGCAAATAGTGGCCTAGTAGTGGCCACTGTAAATAAATAAATGTCATTTAAAGATCATAAACTGAAGAAAAGTCACAATGGAATCTTGTTCTGCATACAGCTGCTCACTGCTTACTTAAAACTATGGAGTAGTTGCTTAAGATTCTCCGTACACACATTTTTTAGTCTAACCAACTTCAAAACTGTCTGGGGTATGTTGTACAAATTTTGACCACAAGCTGCCCTGCACATGCCACTGTAATCTATACAGTTGATTACCTTCCAGTTTCTCAAGGATATTGACTGGCATGAAACTTCATTTTTTTAATTTCCAGTAATTAATTCCCTGTAGAGAGTGACTGAAGACACTAAACAAAAGCATTTTATCAGAAATTATTAGAGTTGGTTTGTCCGCCATCTGTTAATCACCATTCATTTTTGTACAAGGAGTGAAAATTTTATTAAACCTTATACTTAATTAAAACATATTGTTTCCGTAGCAGATTGGAAGTACTGTCATCTGTTTGGACTTGTATCCTAAGATTTGTTAAGAATTCTTTTCCTGCAGCATGTAGGCATGTAGAATTTCATTCTGTTGGGATCTGAATGGAGGTACAAAGGGTGAGGGTTATAGCACAGTCAAATATTCTTTTACTGAAGGCTTTCCAAAAACCCACCATAATGCAGACTGACAACACAGTGAAGGAATACTAATGAAATTGAATGGTCTTAAAAATGAGAAAGTGAAGAATAGTGAGAGGAAAAATATTGCTTTACAGATTTGGGGATTCATTGTGTTAATTAGGTCTTGTGAATGATATGGGTGCTAGAATTTTGTACAACCATTTCTGCTTAAATCTTTATTACAATACTCACAGAAAATGTGATTTTGTGTATATTTGCTGTTGCTAGAGAAGTGACTACAGCAGCTTGTTCAAAGCTAATGAAACCAGATTGTTTTGGTGTAACATTCATCTGAAGAGTCAGAAGGAAAAATGCAGGAAAATGACAATGACTGATTACTTTTTATTGTTATAGTGAGGTGCAAAGACTTGCAAAACACTGCCTGTTTTCAATGGCTCCTCACATATATTAGCGTTCGGCTGCATCATAAGTATGTAGGAACATGTAAGAGGTGTGTATCTCATTACTTTTATCGGTGCAGAATGTCATCTGGGCCCCAGGTTCTTGCCAGAGTGTAATAGATATTGCTGTATACATCAAGAAGACCGAGCTGCAGTCAACCATTTGGCCAAAGCTGAGATTAAGAGTTAGCTTGTTAGACCTATCAGTGATAAGGGAATCATAGAATCATAGATTCATAGAATGGTTTGGGTTGGATGGGAGCTTAAAGATCATCTAGTTCCAGCCCTGTGTGTTGTAGGATCTCACTGTTATGTAGCTTGCCAGGTTTTGCTCTGTCTCTGCCTGTTCCTTGGCCCAGGATTCTCCTTTGGCTACATGGATTTCTTGACTCTTCACATTCTTTGCCGTTTTTACGCCACACACTTTAGTTTGGTGTATCTCTTGGCTTTCTTGGTTTCTGCCTCTTTCCTCCAGCACTGACACCAAAGATTTGCTAACAGCTTTCACATCCCAGGTGTATTGTTGTTGTGATGACATTAAAGTGATCGCACCATGAAGGTATGGTCAGATGCAGCTGTAACAAGGGCAGTAAGTCACTGAGAAACAGATGCAGATATGGGTAAAAAGGTGTTAATGTTTTATATTATTACTATTTATCATTACCAACCATTGATTAAGTGAGCAGTATGAGCGATCCAAAGCAAAAAGCACAGCTTTGCTATTAAGTGCTTGCAGTCCAGGAAGACAAACAGCAGACAAAGTGTAAGGGGGAAGGGGAATATATTTTTTTAAACAAATACCATCTATTTCCACTGGCCCTCTGCCTAGCCATTATTAACTTGCATTAGTTCGTAGGCATCCAAGTTGAATCTTCCTGCTGTTACTGGAAAATTTTTCTTGGCTCAGTTGTGAAAATAATTTCCTTTCAAACTCAACACTATGTTGTTACAACATCCACTCTAATAATCTAATGGTCAAATGTGATGATTGTCTTTTGGATCACCTCACAGGGACATCATTGTTTTGTGACTGTGACCTTACATCTGGGAACAGCCTTGCCTACAGCTTCCCAAATCTCCTTTACAAAGCCATGTGACAGACATATGTAAGGCTCGGAGCCAGTCACACTTGTTTAAAAACTCCTTGACACAGTCACAGCACTTGTGACTCCCTGTGCTGCTGTGACATATGACCCTTATGCCACAAATATTCTTCTGCATTATGCAAGGGTGTCGCTACAGAAGCAGGATTATGTGAGGTCATGGCTAGAGTCTGATCCTGCTTCATCCCCAGATGTACAAGCAGAAAACAGTTGAGTGGATTAATATGTAAGTGGCTTTTAGAGGCAACTGCCCCCTTGTTCTGACATTGCTAGGTGAACAGATGCTAGATGTTGCTAGGTGTTGCTGGATGGCCCCAATCTGTTCAATAACCATCTACATCAGCTTATAACATAGAATAACCTTGGACAAGAGCAGCCAATGAAACCAGCCCACCTCTGCCATATACACAGGCACCTTATTTTTACATGTTTACATATTACACATGTTGCACACTACTCTATTTTTATCCCTTGACAGCTATGAGAATGTCATAGTTGGTAGCTGATCTCATCTCCCCTTCATCAACCAAAAATTAATCTAGTCAGAGCAATCATATCACTTCTAACAGGAACCTGTACAAGCCACAGCTGGTCTGCTAAAACGGAAGACATTACAAAACACAGTGATAAAAGCAGATAAGTATAGAAAAGTACATCTAGAAAAGCATAAGGTAGGCTTTTGTTTCAAGATACATAACAGACTGCCCTGGCAAAATGGAGTTGCTGGAGATCTCTCACTGCCTAACTTAATGTTTCTAGCTTCATTATGTTAGTGTCATGTAGTAAAATCTCTAGTCTACCACACATATAGGTGCCTATAAACCTTACATGTTCCTGTTGGAACTAAGAGACAGTTATTCATGCAAATGTTCTCTGTAAACTACTGCTTTTCAAGCAGATGAATTCTGTGTTCTTTCCCTTATATCTGCACTTCTTAAAATCAAGTCATGCCACAACTTCAGGTTCCCCCTCCAACTCCTTACCCATTGTTATTATCCCTGTTAACACTATGTTTTCACTGCCAGCAGTTGGGCTGCCAAGCTGGAGAGAAAGAGAGGATATCATCTTAGGTCTCACTTATTTTTGACTTCAGAAATTAATTCTGTCATCAAGGCAAGTGTTAGCGTATTGAAAGCAAACTTGGCTTTCAGAAAAATCAGTGAGCTGCAGGCAGGTAGTTACATCCTGTTAGCTTGGAATCAATTAAG